AGAGGAGGAAGAGAGAACACTAGAAGTACAGTTATTTAATGTGTTTACGTAGTAACTTTCCAAACAGTAGCCGTTATCTTCCTCTCTACTCACCATACAGGACATCACCACTTCTCACTAAGGTTCAGTAAATGCGATTTTCATTTTATTATACTGTATTTACATATTGTTTCATGTTTTAATTTGGTGTTTAGAGCATTTAATTGTGCTATTTTTACCATAAATTACGCGTATTTGCTGTTTAATTTTATAGAAATGGGTGTTGTTTAAGGTCTGGGAACGGATTAATTCACTTTTCATTATATTTAATGGGGAAAATTGATTAGGACTTCGAATGTTCTCCTGAAAAGAATTACATTCGAAGTATGTGTCACCACTGTATTAATAATTTATATATTCCCTCAACATATAAAATAATCTGTTCATAGTTATAGATAAACAGATAAAAGATGTACATAATACAAACGAGTACAGATATGTACTCGTCTCTACAGTATTATGTACATACTTTGTATCATTTTAGATGTTTAGATATAGCGAGCACATATAGATGGATATAGCTAAGTACTCTCACTACCCCATATTTTATGACTTGAAGTATTCAATAGATTCGGTTTCATTTATACAAAACTTTTATTTTCCAGTTATAAATCTCGCACCAATTGTCTCAAACTCTATTGCATTGCTTAGATATTAATTGTCATTATAGATACTAAAATACAGATAATTATAATAAGATATCTGTAGTCTACCGATCAGCACAGATAGTGTGTGACTGCGTAACTATGTAAATTGTATTGTGTATGAGTACAACAATCTTTACTTTTGCAGAATTACTCTACACTACGGCTACGTATACACTATTGTGCAAATACTATATGTACAATTTCATATACAGTACTTATATAAAAATAAACCCAATACAGATAATTGTGTTTATTTGCTTAATATAGTACATATTAGTACAGTTACATACTTATCTGACTGTACTGTACAGATACAGTGTTCCTGATCTATTCACACATAGATAAATATACTCATACTATAGATAAGCAGTTATTTTCACCGTACTGTAGAGATACTGTGTGATTACTATGTAAATCAACTAACTACTACTGTTGAAGTTTAATTAATAAATCTAATTTTAAAATTCAAAATCTTTGGGGAAAAAATAAACAAAATTAATTTTAATCAAAAATTAAATGAAAGGAAATTCAACATGAATTAATTATAGCTTATTTATTCAACTTAATTAGAATTATACATTTATAATATTTCATTCATTCAAAGTAATTTTCATTTTTCTAAAAATCGATTGTTTAATAGGAGGTTTGTTTCTTGTTTAACATGCTGTAAAGTGGAGAAAGTTTTGCGTAAACTGTAATTTTGTTTCGTGTGCGTGAACGATTTTGTTGATAAACAAGTAAAAATATCTCCTGCCTGAAAAAAATCAGCATGAAGTGGAAAAACATAATTGTCGCGGGTTCGGATCTTTGTTCATGAACAAGTAAATTCCGCTTTATATATAAAAAAGTAATCGATAGAGGTTAGTAAATATGTTTGTCATTGGTTCGGATATCTTTTGCTAGACAAATAGATTTTTTTTTATATGGAAATATTTATCATATAAAAAATACTGCCGTGCAGTCGGATGCCACATTTTGTTGATAAACAAATCATTTCAAGATAAAAAAAAATTCAATATGATATACAAAAATATATTTCTTGTTGATTTGGATCCTCTAGTTTGTTGCTAAACAATAGAAAATATCTCCATATAAAAAGTACTGTCATATAATAAGAAATATATTTGCCGTAAGTTTGAATCTTTAAATTTTGTTGGTAAAAAACTAAAAAATAATATCGTGTATATAAAATGATTAACATCGGATATTAAGCATTTTGTCGTTGATTCGGATTTTAAATTTTCTTCATAAACAGCTAAAAGTATTTCCATGTAAAGTCAGTGTCTTGTGAGAAAATACTGTATATTTGTCGTGGGTTCACACCATATTTTTTTTATTCATAATTAAAAATACCGTACCGAAATACACACACACACACATATATATATGTATATACAGTATATTAACTTGTGTATTAAAATTAAAACTCAAATCTAGACGTTAATTACTCAATAAATACTAACTACTTGATAATGTTTTTATAAAATTTCAAAGTTTTTAATTAATATTTTCATTTAAAACAATATATTAATATTATTTATAATATAATTAAAATTTAAATTAAGTTTAATTTTGGCGTTACATACTATCAATTAATTAATTAATAATAAAGAATGAAAAGAATTTATATAAAGAATGTGCTTATTATTCAATACTACTTTGAAATTTTTTCAAATTTTAAAATTCGATTTTGTTTTTTAATTATTGAAAATTTCTTGTAATTTTAAATTAAACATTTTAAATAAATGTTAATAACAAAATTTCAATCAATAAAGTATTTTTTACGTAATTTTTATATATCAAAACGTTTTGATTACTGAATATTTTAGAGATTCGAAATTTTGTTACATATTTCTTCAACAAAACATCATCTGACGGGGAAAACATGCTTTTTAATATAGGGTTCGAACCCACTTGTCGTGGATTCGGATCACATATTCTGTTGATAAATATCTAAGAGTATTTAAAAACAAAATTAATAGCAGATGGGGAATAAATATATTTGTCGAAATCCTTAATTTGTTCATGAACTACTAAAAATATATTTATGAAGAAGAATCTGAGTGTTATAGTGATTGTTCCTTTCTAAAGGACACTTCGATCTTCCTTAAAAGGCTTCAAAGAGCATCGGAATTCATAGACGTCCACAGAAAATTTTCCAGGGAGGACAAAGCTTGAAGACAAACAGTTACATTAATGAATTTTTATTTAATTATTTTTTCCATAAGTAGATTATAGAACACATTATTGAATCAAAGTGAGTTTGTTTCACAAATCTTGTCCAGCTGTAAAAATGTGCAGTAGTAAATTAAGTAATTAAATCCCTTTATTAAGTAAATAGACAGTCTACTTAATAAAGGGAACAGATTGTTCGACGAATCTGTGACAAGATCACTGTGCGTAGAAAAGGAACTCTTGATCTTTATAAAATTTTCAGAGCCCCAACAGAGTACCGCTCATTGTCCGACCAAGATATATGAAACGATCTATAATAGTAGTTTTAAATCCTATGACAAGATTTGAAAATTTCATTAGGCTTAATAATGTTATTTACGCTTCAAAAACTAAGCACGTGGGTTCGTAATATGGTCATTAAGTGTCCAACATCATTAAAAACGTTTCAGTTTTAACAATCTGATGTAATTTCGTATTTTAGTATCTCATTCAGTTAATCACTTCATATTTGATTTTACAAAAAAGGAAAGATTTTATCTTTCTTTAAAATCTATTGTCCTAAAATGGTGACAACAGAGGATTATATAGGTTTAAGGTGTTTCTAATAATACTGCCACTTGCATATATAGCCTATATATTTTAAATTTACTAGAAAATGTTTTCAAATTATTTTCATAAGCTCTGCTAGAGCAGTCGAGCAGATACATGTAAATTTAAAGCAATCTGTGAGATAAGTAAGTTGGTCAAATTAATGAAAATTCCTCAACGTGCCCATATTTGGAACACTTACCTTATTTATCGATATTAAGCAAAACAATTATTTCTATAACTGAATCAAACAACATTAACTATTACGAATCAAAGAAAGGCAATTTTTCTAACTTTGCTGAATGAATTGCGAAGTGCTTTTCTGTAATCAAGGAGTCTTACCAGATGATGAATTGGAAATATGTCAAACGCAGACAGAAACGAAAAATCGATTGCTAGACATGTCATGGAGATTCTCCTTTGCCTCCGAAGAAAAGAACAACTCAATATAACGCTGCTTGAGAATTATTGAATAATCTCTATTCTATACATGTAGTCTCTGGCATATTGTGTACTTAAAGTATATATACAGTAGCTGCAAATGATAACTTATAAATGGAATTTTTCATTATGTTGGATGTCAAAAAATTAATCTTGAGCTTAAAATTCTTTATAAAAGTACAAATACACTAACAAGATCGTGTATAAATATTACACATTCAATTTATTGCATTGTATTCGATAATGATCAGCTTGATGTACTGAGTTACACATAATTTAATGAATTTTTCTATTTTCAATGAATTAAATTTAGGCATTTCATTCGTCGAAAATAATAAAAAAAAATTCATTAAGAAGTTATAGAATGTTATAAAATTATTATTATTATTATTATTTTAAATTCTTTGTGGGTCCTTTTTTCTATGTGTCTCGTGACTTAGATCAGGTCCACAATGGGGGCGACCGGATGGTGAGAGATTGGACTCAGCATATTTAGGATAGAGTTGCAAATGGATTTATGCTTAGGATGTTTTAAATTCTAATAATTTTGAACAGAAATTGAAGTGAGATGTAAGCATGTTGGAAATAACGCGCCAGCTTATTGCGCTTATTGCGAAGGTAACCATACATATTTCTTTCTCTAGTTTAAATAAGCGTAAATTTGGAAAACAACTTGTGTAATTTATAAATAGTCACTTTTTACAATTTTATATTTGAATTTTTCTTTCATTTTTAATAGTTTAAGAGCTAAGATGATGGGTATTCTCCAAGAAGATGTTTATCTCTATGATCCGAGAGGATTTTTATGTTAAGAGGGTATTTTATACTGTTTAATATAGAAATTCTTTCTTTGTATCGTTTTATATAACTTATATAGTAGATATAATTTATTTCAAATGTGTAATATGACGTTATTGGCATGAGCATGTAACTCTGAATTTTAAATTTAATAGTTCTGTTAAGCTTATAAAAAATGCTCTTATTATAACTTTTATTATTTACAATTTGAAATATCTTTTGTTTTTAATACACAAAACTTTCATGTCATTGCAACTCAAAATCATTATCATTTAATATAAAAATATTTCTTCAGAGCTATTTGTTTCTTCCTGAATGAGTTGTATCTTATAGGATGGATTAGATTCAGTTCACTGAAGTTTTATCTGTCTTGAATGAGGGATAAGGAATCTTTTATCATGAAAATCATGGAAGTTTCCCATTCTTCACTCAGCTTGAATTACAAATAAGATCATGATTTTTACTGCAAATAAAAGAATATTTTTCTGCATATTGTAATATAAATTTTACACAATACACTCCATATTAAAAATATTTTCTGGATCATAATTTCTACTCGAAATTAAATGTAATTTATCGCATACTTATAATAATATAATATAATTATTGATTTTGTTAAAACTAATGGTTAGTGTGGGCTTGTTACAGGTCCTTCTACTCTTAATAATAGCTTCAAAAGCGAGAGGCCCTGTTCTATAGTTTATTTATCTTATGTTCACCTCCGATCCTAATTGATGTTTGGCATTCTATCGAAGGAATATGGGTTTGGACTATTTTTATTTGTTATAATATAAAATATACTTTTAATTTATGCACTTACATTAAAGAAAGTATCATATATTTTATTGTAAATTGGTAAAAATATTTTAAACAGTTTGATAATTATTCACATGTAAATTAAGAAATTTTGAAATGTATTATTTATGCCGTTTATATTAACGTAAAACACCAATTTTCATTTGATTTATTTAATTATTTATCATATCTGAAAAAAGGAAAACATTTATTGTAATAAATATATAGGTTATGTGTTTCTGTAATTTTTTATAAAGCGATATTAACTATCTCAAGTCAAAGAATACTCATTAATTACACTTATGTCACCTTCGAAACACGTGTTCATCGCATTGATTTGATGAGCTTGCTACTTCCACTTCTTCGAAAGATGTCCAAAAAAGAATAGTCATTAATCTTCAAAGACTACCGACAATTGAGACTAGTCGTAATTAATTAACAACTTCACAATATCTCGAAACGTTTTTTTTTATCCAACTTTCATTAAATTATTCGAAAATAATGCGAATATAACCGTTTAAAATGGTAGAAAATTAAATTTTCTTTGAAGTACTAAAGTGAGACTATTAAAATTAAATTAGTAATGTCTTTAAAAAAATAGGAGTAAGGATAGAACAGAATAATGGGACCAAGAACTAAGGCTTACAAAACTGAGATTAAGAATAATGAAAAATTAAAGTAATCTTTCCATAAATTCCAAATACTAAAACTATCTAATGTGTTTAGACAGCAAGAAGATAGAAAAATCCTCCATAAAATAAAGTACTTTAGATAAGAATGTGTATCACAATTACAATAATTGAACTCATATTCTCTAAAGGCTTTCGAACTTTTTAGATTTGTAGAAAGTTTTATTGCTGTTTTTACAACTCTTAAAAGATATAAAGTATCTTGAAATATTACTTTTAAATTAAAAATTTATTTAGTTGATTATATTATTTTACATTTTACTATTTTTTTTTTTCCAAAAATTTTTATGATATTCCAACAGTAAACACAAATAAATCTATCATAATAAACATGAAATTTTTAATAAAATACATACAGAGATATCCAAAAGTCAGTTAACTGTATTTCATGAAAACGTGCGGTAAACTGATTTTAGAAGAACAAATTTTCATTTAAAAATAATAGAAACGTTATGAAAAATGTGAAGAACAAGATAGTAGTTTATTCTGTGCAAAGAGTAACTGACTTTTGGACCACCCAGTATATTTCAAGCAGAATCTATATCTTGAAATGAATTAAAAAGTTTTAATTGAGAAATTGATAACTTTCTTTAGGAAAATTTTACTTCAAATTTCCTTTGTGTACAATTTTATGTTTCAAGGAACTTGAATGAATATGAAGTACTAATAATTATTTTAATATTCTGGCTGTTTAAGCTTAGACTGTTCATAATTAAAGTCCATAAAAATGGCGGAAAGAGTGAAAAAGAGTGTTTGAACCATGCGATGACATTAAAAATGTTAAACGATTTTGATGCCAAACAAGAAAGTAACAGAAAAACAAAGCAGTTTCGATTGAACTTAAGCAAGCTTTCTTTACAAAACAGAAAGAAAATCTTGTAGGATAAAATAAAAATAGGAAATCGAACATAAAAAGAAACAGGAAATGAATTAATTTGGTATTCTGGCTGCTTAAGAAAGGATTACCTTCATCGCTAAAGATCGTTTGTGATATTTAATGACATTCAAAGGATCAAAGAAACGATGATGATGGTGGTGGTATTGGAAAAAAATAAGAGAAAAATAGAAAGTTTTAATCGAAGTTGAAAGGAAATTTTAGAGAAAATAAGGATATATGACAGAAAACTAAACACGAAAGGAATGAAGATAAACTATTAATCATCAGTTTTAATACTATTGCTGTTTAAGAAATGTTTCGTCACTAATACTCGTTTGTATCATACGATAACATTGAAAGGGTTAAAGAAATGACGATGTTAGAAGAAGCAAGTTGGAAAAAATAGAAAGTAGTTTCGATTGGAAGGATTTATGACATAAACGATAAGAGCTACCTGAAAGGAAACTTCTTCCTGTTTTCTTTCATGCAGAAAGTGATCGAAATTACAGATGTTGTAGAGAATGTTAAAGAAATACTTCAGAACTTTTTCCTTTCAAAAAATGTCGTAAGAATTACAGATAAGTGTTTCAAATACCCGATTTTATAAAATGATATTTCAAATTATTCAAGAATAAAATTGAAATATTTTTATAATTATTTATCGAAAAGCTAGTAATTTTAGTATTTTAAATTCATTTTAAAAATACTTTATTTTTTTTTATATATATATTTTTTCTTATTAATTCCTTTGTATTAATATATAAATCATTCTTTTGATATTTTGTAAATATTACTACTAATAATTGGTACACAGAATCTGAGAGAGGTGAGATGGGGCCCAGTTTAATTATAAATATCTTCTGAAAGCTATAAAAATATATCAATTTGTTTTATTAATCAATAAATTAATAATTCTAATCTATATTGCGTTTTTACATAGAAAGGGATTTGAAATCTAATTATTTACGACCAAAGCTCAAGTAAGACGACCTTGTTTGCACTCCTGTAATTGAGTCTGGGTATGCTATTAATATGTTAGCAGAATGTATAATACTTTTTTATGTCCTTGAAGACCTTTGCACTTTGACTCTAAAAATATACTTGTATATAAAATACAAGTAGTTATTGTTGTAAGGCAATTATGTCTTTATATTTTGCTAATCTGAATGTACAGAATGATTTTATACACACTTTGACCTTACCTATTCAATGTCTCTTCTTGATTCTTCTTCCTGTAAGATCTGGTGTAATACTGTTTAATATTGGCTTTTTCTCTATTCGTATGACTTGGCTTCTCACGATACTCTTCAACTCTATATATTTTTTTTATTTTATAATGTAAAAAATACAATTAGATTAAAGTTGGATATCAATTTATTTTCATATCATTTATGAAAATAAATTGATTCTTAAACTTTGATTAAATTTATATGTGAAGTTATTGAAACCGTAATCTGAAGAACATAAAAAGAGCATTTTAATAAAGAAAGTGCTAATAAATATTTACTTTATATAAAAAATTTATTGATTTATTGGATGTAATTCAGTTCTGCATACAAAATAAATTTACTTTTATTGAATTACTAGCAATTGAATGATTTTTCTCTCTAAAAATAACAGCTTCTTTTTACTTACTTATAAAAAATATGTAATAATTCATAATTTAGTGGAAGGATATTTATATACTATAAAATAAAAGTCAACCTTTATTTAACTATTTTAATGTACGAGTTTCAATAGAAGAAAGTGGCCAAAGTGTGCTTGTATGTTATATTGTCGGACCCCTATACCATTTTTTAAGTGTTGCCGCATAGTGGCACAATATGAAACGAGAAGTTATAAAAGGGAAAATTATATGTTTGAGAGGCAACACTGGATCATGTGGTGTATCTTGTCTGCCTGCTATTTTTGATTTTCGTGCGAGTGAACATACTATATGTGCTTGTGAAATAGTTGTTTTTGTTATTTAAAGAGAGTGGTACTTTTTGCTTATTTGTCTTTAGTAACTATAGAATTTTCCTGTATAAAATTTCTCATTAACTTATTTTTGAGTCTAAAAAATATCAATAACAAATGGCTTAAGTAAGATTCTTCCGTCTTCCCTAAGTCGGACTCCTATGCTTTTACTATGTTCTAAGTTCTGAAATGTTTTTATGTATCTGGCATTACAAATGGCGAGACAAAAAGGTAACCGACTTTCTCCTCCCATGTCGGATGACCAAGAGATGGAAGAAGCTATCTATGTGACGTTTGTGACCGCTGTCGTTAGTGTGCTTATTAGAAATAAACTAGTGTGGACACAAACTAGTTTATTTCTAATTATTTTAGTAGTTTCATACATAGTGTCGTACATATACATAGCTTAATAAAACATTTTCGTACTTTCCTTTACTTTGTGTTTACTTGTAATTTTCAGTTTATTAAAAAAAATACAGGTTAGAAACAAAATGGAGGTCCAACTTTGACCACTTTTCCAAGTGTTTTTTTTCCTAACAAAGTTTAGAAAAACTGTTCGAAATGTGATACTTCAGCAACTACAGATCCGAGTAACAATCGTGGTTAACTGAGTTATGGACCACACACGGACTCCCGGGAGGTTTTGTTTCAGAGGAAGCAAACATGAACGACTTATTTAATTATAATAATCAATTAGTTGATTCTCTTAAACCATGTTTTTTAAACAGGTTTATTTCTTTATATCTTTATGAACATGAGTAAACTCTAATTAACTTAATTTAAAAAATGTGGAATCTTCCAAACAGTAGGCTACATACATCCTGCTTACGACTCTAAAGAGAAACTAGAGGAGCCATCTCGTCGCGAGCGGACTATTAAAATAAATTAAAGAACTGCAATTGCTCCTTCTGGTTCCTCCACATGGGCATCCTTTGGACCACTCAAAATAATTTCTTTTAAATGAGTGTTTAAAGATTAGTTTTAATTACAATATTTAATTAAATCACTATATACATACATATATGTTATTATACTCGTATTATTTATTTATAAATGGATCAAAACTAGCAGAAAAGTAAATATATTTGATATTGTTTAAACGAAATGAAAACAAATTGTAATTTTAATGAGATGTACGTACAAACTAATGCATTAAATGATTTAATAAAGAACTTGTTCTTCCAGAAATTTCATTTGTTAGCACGAAAGTTTTTCCTGATAAGAATTCTTTAATAAATTAACATTGGTTTTCTATTTTAATCAAAATAGTAATTGAAGAAGTCATCAACAATATCGATTACATTATCATTTGTATAATTTGATCTTCATTCAAAAGAAATATAATCATATAATGATATAAAAAATCAATTTGATTAGAATAAATTCGTGTATTTTCTTGGAAAATATTAATGATGCAATCATATAAAAACATTCTTGCAATTGTAATAAAGTTATCTTATTGTAAAATAGTGCTTTAGCAATTTATTTTTTATTTTTTAAATTTGTCTGATAATAAACTACAATGGCAAATTCTTAGAAAATATTCGTAGTTAAAAGACGTACAAAAATAAATAAATTGGATTCTTTACTTTGCTTTTTTTTTAATACCTTGAGAACATAAAACAGAGAAGAGTTGACCTTCCCATTATGGTTCTTTCCCTCTAAACACGTAAATTACCTGAAAATTTATGAGAATTTTATGAGATAGGAGCATTAAAATCGACTCTCCTATGTGTTTATGTAGTGTTAAAAAAGGATGAATGCCTTCTAACTACAAATATTTGAAAAGTTTAATTGTTAAATTTTAAAAATTTTATATCTTTTTTCTGAAGTACTTACATTCTCTTAAAAACAGCATCTACATTTTATCATGTTATAGTTTCAATAATACTCTTTCGAAAATGGCTTCAACTTTCTTCTTCTTCCATTTGTATGGAGAAAGTTTCTTCTTTATCTTCTTTTCCCTTCATATCTAGTGACAGAAGACCGAATGAACTCGTTCTATTCTTTCCTGTTCCTTGTTTTGTCATCTATGTTTGTCCACGTCACGGTTTTTGTCTAAGTTTTTTGTCTTGTATCCTCTTTGATCTTATATATCTAATGTTTTTTAGGTCTCTTCCTTGATTTTTTTCGCCTGTACTATCAGATGAATTGCTTAATTTAGCATTCAATTTTCTTATATTCGCATGATTTCAACTTCATATTTCCTATTTTCTAACATAAAATAGTTGAATTTAAATTAGCTAGAGCATTTCTCATATAATTTATGTAATTTACTCTTGTGTTATGATTATATTATGATTGTTGAAAATTTATGTATCAAGTTATGGAAATGTGTGGAGTATAGAAGAGCGTAACAGTATAAAAAGGCCTATGATTTATTTTGTCTAAAAAATATTTAAATTCAGTGCTAAAAGCTGCTGAAAATTTTCAAAAATTATACTTAAAAATCAAGTTTTTTAATGCCTCAAACCGCATCAAGTTTAACCTAAAAATTTATATTGAATTTTTATATAAGAATCTTGTTATAAAATTCGACTTCTATTTAAATTAACGTTAAAATATTTATTAATTTGCATTTATATCTTCTAAAAACTTCTTTTAAAGACCTGCTTTTTGGAATAAAATGTTGAGAAAGTGAAGAACATATTCATTTGTGCGATAAGATCATTGTTTTATTGATTTTTCTATGATTATTCATAAAAGGAAACATTGTATAAATGAATATATTATTGCTTTTTTAGGATTAATAAATAAAATATTCATTCGTCCGATTATTCTGTAATTTTCAACTTATTTTTCTTGAAAAATGGGAAATAAATTTTTTTGCAAGACAAATTCAAATACATAAAATTCTGTATAAGATGAAAATTAATATACACGAAACTTTTAGAAAAAAAATAATAAAATACATAATTCTTTGTGATTAAAAAAAAACTAAAATTTTCAATTTTCTCTTAAAAATTAAAAGAAAAATAAATAAAATTCCACATAAAATATTATCAAAAAGCTCATAAATCAAATTATCCCATGTAATACTCATCAATTCTCATTGGAACTATCCATTTATAGTCACTAAATCGTTGAAATATAAAAATCAATATTAATCTAAATAATCTTTAATAAATTATTTTAATAGTTTGTATTTTTTAAATATTTTCTTTGTATCTGAAATCAATATCTTTGAAGAAGTATAAGTAAGATGAAACAAGTCACCCCCCTGAGAGTAGAACTATTTTCAGATAATGCTATAACCACTTGAGATAGGTGAGAAAATAAATTTTATTTATTAGCTAATTTTTTTGGAGGGATAAAACTATTTTTCTGACAAAAGTAATGTTAGGAATTAAGACTTTTTTAGAAAAATTAAGTATGTTTTAGCCATTAGAGATGTTGAAATTGGCTCCATCATCGTTTGGCAATGCTTCCTGATGGCTTCAAATATTTCTTTTTTTACCCATTAAAATCCTTTTTCAACTATAAAAATCTATTTTTATAACAACTAAAATCCTTTTGTTTAAGTACTAAAATCATTTTTAATTCAAAAATCCTTCTCTTTAACTAATACAGTCTCCTTTTGACCATTAAAATCCTTTCTTAACAGCTACAAATCATTTTTAACTGCTAAAGTTCTGGTTTTAAACTATTAAAACCTTTTTATTTAACCGTTAAAATGCTTTTCTATCGATGTTTTTGCATTTTAAAGATAAAGAAAATGAAAGAAAACTGAAATTTGATATTGAATTTCATATTATTTTTTTATTATTTCTCAATATTTTTAACAAAAGTATTGAGAAATAATTATTAAAGATAAATTAATTTTTTTTTAAAATTATTAAATAAATAATTTTTCTTTTAATGAATATCATCAAATAATTGATCTTAATAAATTCAGTAAATATTATTTTAAACTAAAAAAGACTTGACATTTTATATGTAAATTAATTATGAATAAAATTTCAACATACTGAATTTTCATTTGCTAATTATTGTTAATTTTATGAGTAATTATAAATTATTTAATGTATAAATCAGTATATATTAACAAATTAAATACATTTAAAATTAATAAAATTAAATTTTATCTCTTGAATATTATTAATTTAGAATTTTTCTTTTATGTTTTAATTCTAGTTACCGAAAAAGAGGTCCGACAGTGGTAAGTACTTGTATATTTTCTGTTATTTGAAATATTTATTGGCTTTGATTCATTTATGAAAAGGATTTATTATCTGTATTGAGCCCCTATAAATGGGATATCCAAATTAGTCACTGTACAAACTTAGACTTCTGAGTCTGAAAATTTATTTATAATTAAACAATTATTTTAATAATAATATAAATATATTCTTGGGATTTTAAATATTATTTTGGGCAAAGGTAATCTTTAGATTAGATTTAACTTTCTTCCATTCTCTACGGAGGTGTTTGCCTTATCATCTTGAGGTTAGATCTAATTTTAGTTAGCTTAAAATTGAATTAATATTCGTATTTATTTTTAAAACAATGCTTTTTTTTATCACCTTGATGTTTTTATATTAAAGAAATGTTCAGTTTTCTCTACAAAATTTCCTTAAATTTCCTAAGCAACAGATTGATTTCGGAGTTTGATTCTTAGTTAAGAAAATCTTTATAACAAATGATCTATTCGCATGATGAGATGGTGCTAACTTATATGTCAATCTGGCATTACTTCTTTCTCGGTGATAAATTCTAAAGAATGACACCGAATTTACGTAGAAATATGCGCTAACTCAGTCAATCGAACAGAAGTAATTACAGTGAACGATAAATCAAATGTGGATCCGATAGTGTGGACTCCTCAAAGTCTAGACATGTGACAGTTCACTTTGGGGCATTGTTAAAAGGAGAATTTCTTTTTTATTCTCTTCATTTTAACTGTTGAAGTTCTAAAACTAACTATCGGAGACTACTTTAACGACTTCCAACTGTCAATATGGAAGATGTTCAAAAGAACTCGAAGGGATCTGCACAGTCTCTCGCGGAGCTTTACTTAAAAAGTATAAACATAATTATGGTGATAAATAAAGCTACAGTAAAATCATCGAGACACTAAAGTCACCTAAGTAGTTATAAAAAATCATATAAGTTAAGATTTTTATAACTATTTATGTAATTTTTAGTATCTAGATCAGGGCTTCTTAAACTTTTTTTATTCACGACTCAATTTATGATTGTGATTTTTTTCGCGACCCAAAAAATATAAAATAAAGATATATACAAATTTGCAAAATCAATAATGGTGTACTACCACAGTTCACTCTTGTGTTATAATGGAACAGAGACAACTGAATACACTGAAAAGCGACAACACTACGCTAGTTCACACTATAATCAGTGTTGTTGAATCGTTGTCGCGCTGCACCAGAAGTGACACAAAGCGCAACTCACGAAACCTATGATACAAAGCGTGCCATTTTCAAACTCTCACAAATTATTTTCAATATTTTGCATTAAAATCTCGCGACCCCAAGATTTCGCTAAGTGACCCCAAATGGAATCACGACCCATAGTTTAAGAAGATGACTTAGATCGAGTGATAAGTTTGATATTTAACAAAGAATTTCAGCTGATAAAATAATTAATTTTAAAAACTAGAATAAAATAATATTTGTATTTACATGTTAGTGGAGTAATAAAAGTAATTTCAGACGCTTTTTTCAAAATTTATTTTTATATTTTTTTAATACGAAAATATGTATTTTTAAAAGTATACTTAAGGCCCTTTAAATGTCTTTTGATATTAGAAATACCATGGGCTCTCCTGTAACGTCAGCCTCGAGATCCTTCCATTACTCATTATTTGTATGAAGAATGGGAAGAAGTTATAGCTTTTAATTAATAGCTATATAACTTCTTCTCATACTTTAAGTGTCTCTAAAAGTAAGGTGAATAACACGAATTTCGTGCTATTAAGCTTACTTTTAAAAGCAATTATAGGAGTAATCTTATGGTTTATATGATTAAATATATATTATTTTTCTCGTAGGAGGAGAATTCTCTTGTATAGAAGAGGATGCTCTTATTTCTATACAAGAAGGGAAAAAAGAGAATAGGAAGAATATAAGAATTCTGTTCTATAAAAAAAGTTAATAAAAATTTTCTTATCATCATAGGTTTGCTATATATACGGGAGATGGATTCTATAGAAGATACTTTTTCTACTCTTCTCTCTCTTTCTACTTCTATTATAGACTAGGAGAGAGGGAGAGAGAGGATAGGTGAAGTAGAACGAAAACTTTCTCTAGTAAACAATCCTTTTTCTATACTTAAAACTCTCCTGTTCTCCTTCTATGCTTTTTGCATAGAAAAGGCTAAGCAAAATTGATAATTTTTTTAATATAAAAGANTCTGTTATTTGAAATATTTATTGGCTTTGATTCATTTATGAAAAGGATTTATTATCTGTATTGAGCCCCTATAAATGGGATATCCAAATTAGTCACTGTACAAACTTAGACTTCTGAGTCTGAAAATTTATTTATAATTAAACAATTATTTTAATAATAATATAAATATATTCTTGGGATTTTAAATATTATTTTGGGCAAAGGTAATCTTTAGATTAGATTTAACTTTCTTCCATTCTCTACGGAGGTGTTTGCCTTATCATCTTGAGGTTAGATCTAATTTTAGTTAGCTTAAAATTGAATTAATATTCGTATTTATTTTTAAAACAATGCTTTTTTTTATCACCTTGATGTTTTTATATTAAAGAAATGTTCAGTTTTCTCTACAAAATTTCCTTAAATTTCCTAAGCAACAGATTGATTTCGGAGTTTGATTCTTAGTTAAGAAAATCTTTATAACAAATGATCTATTCGCATGATGAGATGGTGCTAACTTATATGTCAATCTGGCATTACTTCTTTCTCGGTGATAAATTCTAAAGAATGACACCGAATTTACGTAGAAATATGCGCTAACTCAGTCAATCGAACAGAAGTAATTACAGTGAACGATAAATCAAATGTGGATCCGATAGTGTGGACTCCTCAAAGTCTAGACATGTGACAGTTCACTTTGGGGCATTGTTAAAAGGAGAATTCCTTTTTTATTCTCTTCATTTTAACTGTTGAAGTTCTAAAACTAACTATCGGAGACTACTTTAACGACTTCCAACTGTCAATATGGAAGATGTTCAAAAGAACTCGAAGGGATCTGCACAGTCTCTCGCGGAGCTTTACTTAAAAAGTATAAACATAATTATGGTGATAAATAAAGCTACAGTAAAATCATCGAGACACTAAAGTCACCTAAGTAGTTATAAAAAATCATATAAGTTAAGATTTTTATAACTATTTATGTAATTTTTAGTATCTAGATCAGGGCTTCTTAAACTTTTTTTATTCACGACTCAATTTATGATTGTGATTTTTTTCGCGACCCAAAAAATATAAAATAAAGATATATACAAATTTGCAAAATCAATAATGGTGTACTACCACAGTTCACTCTTGTGTTATAATGGAACAGAGACAACTGAATACACTGAAAAGCGACAACACTACGCTAGTTCACACTATAATCAGTGTTGTTGAATCGTTGTCGCGCTGCACCAGAAGTGACACAAAGCGCAACTCACGAAACCTATGATACAAAGCGTGCCATTTTCAAACTCTCACAAATTATTTTCAATATTTTGCATTAAAATCTCGCGACCCCAAGATTTCGCTAAGTGACCCCAAATGGAATCACGACCCATAGTTTAAGAAGATGACTTAGATCGAGTGATAAGTTTGATATTTAACAAAGAATTTCAGCTGATAAAATAATTAATTTTAAAAACTAGAATAAAATAATATTTGTATTTACATGTTAGTGGAGTAATAAAAGTAATTTCAGACGCTTTTTTCAAAATTTATTTTTATATTTTTTTAATACGAAAATATGTATTTTTAAAAGTATACTTAAGGCCCTTTAAATGTCTTTTGATATTAGAAATACCATGGGCTCTCCTGTAACGTCAGCCTCGAGATCCTTCCATTACTCATTATTTGTATGAAGAATGGGAAGAAGTTATAGCTTTTAATTAATAGCTATATAACTTTTNGCTTAATTTTCTAATTTTTAACGATACAATAGCGACGATTATTATTTTAAAAAATTTTTGTTAGGCTTAACATCGGTGAAAATTCAACGCGAAGTAGTTTAATAGCGATATACTAATTACATGGGATATAATAATATACTACACTAATAATGGATTTTTTCATACTTTTCGGTTATCCGACTTTTCAATTATCCGACCAACCCCAGTCCCCAATTGAGTCGGATAAACGATGCTCTACTGTATATTAAAGTACAGGAAGTACAGAATACAAAAAGTATTAACAGCAATGTGTGTGAAGTAGTATTTGAGAGATATTATATTATTAAACAGGTAAAGAGAAGATTTGAGTCAAACTATTCACTAAAAATATCTATACTTATTCACTAATCAAAGTATCTATACTTATCTCATTTTAATACTTATGACAGCAGAAATATTTTTCTTTATTTCTACTTAATATGTATCTTCACTCTTATGTAATACTTCGCTGCTTTTCGTGTTAACAACAAACCCAAAGTAATACAACAATAACAAGATTGATGATTCAACATTAAATCGGGTGTTGTAGTATCATCTGCTTATAACTTCTTATCATTAATGTGAATGGATAACGCTTTGCAAATCGTGCAGCATCATCTGTTTTGTCAATCATCTGTATTTAAATCGAAGAATTCTTTACTGAAACTTCTATTTTCGATCTGTAAGGAAGTTAATTTAACAAAATTTTTCTTTTATTTGCTTATTTTTGCAACTTTATTAAAAGTGATGATAAAACTACAAAATTTAGTTTAAAATTTTCTTGTATAATAATTTAAATTGTTTATTCCTAAGAAGTTATTTAATATCAAACGTTTACGACAAGGCATTTGCAAAAATCCAACTTTAGTTCGAATTTTCAAATCTTTTTCTTATTTTCTCTGTGCCATCTCTGCTAGTATCTGAAGAGCAGATTAAAATATAAATCTATAGCAGTATTATCTTATATTGTTCTTATTTATGTTAGTTTAAAGTATAATTTTTTAGAGCAGGATAGAGGATCAATAGAAAAATTTCGCTTGGTTGGTCGGATGGAAGAAATAAGACAA